AAAAAAAAAGTTATTTAAAAATGTAGTGGAAAGCACTGTTGGGTTATAGAAATAATACACTGATTTTAGCTTCACAATATCTAGAAAAATGTACTTTAAAAGCCAGTGGGGACTATACGCTAATTGCAGTTTTGGAAACAGACACAGCCAATTAGAGGATGCCAAACATTTATAGCATCTACTGAGAATGACAAATTGACTTAGATGTTTTATACCAACTGCATAATTTGCAACTTGGTATAAAATGAAGTATGAAAATATTAAGGGCATAAAAACAACTTTTAAAAATTATTCATCTTAAAGTTATTTTATTTCTTAAAACAGCTGTAAGTAGAAACACTATCACTTGCCAAAACTTCTGATTCCCTTATTCATGGAATTATACTGATGCTCACTAATTGCCATGTTTAAATTGTGTGGTATATAAATTCCAAATCTTTAGTATCAGCAATTTCACTTTAAACTAGAAAACAAAGTCTCAATTGGGGAAGAATTCAACTTTTAAAGACAACTGATTTCTGTACTCACAAGGCAGAATTTTATATAAATTTACAATGACTATAAAGCCTTTAGAAATTTTCATATGCAAACACAAAAATAGCCTCACCTTCTAAACATTCCTTCTTATTGTCTAGCTTCTCGTGGGCTTTCGCACGTCTAAACAGAGCTTTCACATATTTGGGATTAAGTTCAACAGCCTTTGTACAATCTTGGGCCACCTCTTTCCATTTTTGCTGTAATTGAAAGTATTTTAAGAGTCACACTAATAAAAGTACTGTTCAAAAGATATCAGTTTTCCAAAGTTAACAGGCCAAGTATTAAGAGTCCCACAACAGAAAAAGTATCCCAAATACAAAGAGTTAATATTTACACTATACATACTATAAAACCTCACATAAATATCTTTAAAGAAGACAAGTTACCAGATTTTTAAAAATAGGCAATGAACATACTTTGGCCATCTTTCTACCTCCAAACCTACCTCGAGTTTTGTGCTCCTACCATTTTCTTCTTTGCTCCTGTTAAAACTGAGGAAGCATCCATCTTCATCAAAGGTCAAACCTCCACTGGTGATCTGAATTCCATGACCTCTCTGTCCATGGACTTCACTCTTCTAGCTATCCCTTCTCTGCAAGAGTCTGCTTCTCTTCTGAGCCATTCCCACGAATATAGAAACACTTGCTCTTGTGTATTTCATCTTTTAAAACCCCTCCTTTGACTCTGTAACTACCCAAACAATACCCCACTTCTCAGTACCTCTTTATTGCTGATCCTCTAGATTTTCAACTTTATCTCATTTCCACCTACCAATAGTCCCTTCTCAATTTCCTCTGCTGAATTCTCTTCCTTGACTCAACATGATGACATCCTCAAGGTCTCATCTCGTCTCTCCCTTAGGTAATTATACTGACTTTATATACCCCAACTAAAATTATAGATGAAATCTGAAATTTATCAGAAGCACAAGACCACTCTACTAAAATAGGCATTTTTCCAATATAACCGTCTACTTAGTCTCTATCTTCTGGTAGTAAAATCTTTTACCTCTTCAGCTTTCACATTCAATGCAATAACAAGTTCTGCTGATTTTCAGTTTTTCTTCATGTCTTACCTAGGTTACTTTAACATCCTTATTTGTTTTCCCAGTCTCCACTCTTGCCTCTTTTCAACATATTCTCAACAAAATATGATAGTTTTAAATGATGTTCTTGCCCTGCTTAAAACTCTTTAGTATATCCACTATAGTCAGAATCACTCCAAACTCTATTATTGCCTACAAGGCTTTTTAAGACCTAGTCCCTATCTGGTTTTCCAATTTCATCTTTCTTCTACCCTTATTTGAACATGCCAAACTCTTTCTTCCCTCAGAGTAGAAAAAACATATTGTTTCTTCTATAATACTCTCCACTCTGCCGTTTTTTTCATCAATCCACTAAATAAATATACAATGGCTCTACATCTAGTCTTTAAAAGGTAAAACAGGTTGGCATATGCTGATATGAAAAGCTGTACAAAATACTGAAAAACTTTATCACCAACAGTATTTAAAAGGAAATCATCTTTCGTTTTCCCTTGCACCATATGCAACTATTACTTACAGCTACAGAAAGAAGTTGACGAACAGCCTCAAAGGGTTAAAGACCTACTAAAAAACTTTAATTTTTTATACTATCTAATTTCATAAAAGCTGAAATATTTATAACTGGGGTATATTTGTAACCAGCAAGACTAATATTTGTTCTTGAAAATTTTTTTAAAGGAAATGAAAACAAAAATCTTATTAATTTCAAAACAATGTCAAAAATGCATTAGATTTGAATAGCATTAACTGAAACTTAAAGCAAATACTGAAAAACAAAGGAAAAGAGAAAACATCCCAGTGTACATACCAACTGTTCAAAGGCAGCAGCTCTATTTTGATAAAATGTGGAAAGATCAACATTCTTTTCTGTAGGGCACAAACTGATAGCTTCTGTATAGCACTGAATAGCTTGTTCATACTTTCCTGCTTTAAAATACTTATTGCCTTTGTTCTTGGCTGCTTGGGCTCTATCAAGAGAGTTCTGAAACAAGAGAAACAATTACCAAACACTAATCAATATTTGACAATAGACTGTGACCATTATAATTAAATGGTAAATTGATAAACTGTGCTTAATGGATATAAGACAATGGTTCTTAGTTGAGAATAATTTTACTCATTTCAGAAATACCCAGTCCCAATAATAAGAACTGGCTGTGAGACTGAAGAAAAAGGCAGGTAGATCCAGGACTCTACAAAGTACAATGTATTGGGGACTTACGAACAGAAGGGTGTGCTGGGTGACAAGATCCCTATACCCCAAAGGAAAAGGAAGAGATGTATATGCTAGGCTTGACAAAGGTTGGCTTCAGGGAAGTGGAATGTACCTATCCTTTCCCAAACTTTTATCCTTTTCTTTTTTTTTTTTTTTTTGTACCAGGGATAGAACTCAGAACCTTGTGCTTGCAAGGCAGGCAGTGTCCTTTTCTTTTCTTAATTTTTAATTATTTTTCTTTGCAGTACTGGATTGAACCAGGTGCTCACACATGTTCTGTAAGTGCTTTGCCACTGAGCTACATTCCTAGCCCATTTAAAAAATATAATTATCAGTACATATTAACTGTACAAAATAATGGTGGTTGCATTGTGACATTTCTTTAAATGCATATAATGTGCTTTGATGGTATTTGTCCTCCCTCTTACCTTCCCCAAATAGCCCCCCTTCTACTTTCATGTCTTTTTGTTTTTCCCTAGGATCCACACATGAGCAAAAACTATTAATATGTCCAACATCAGTTAAGAAAAAGCCTGTTTATAGCTGGCACAACACACTTGGTTGACCTTCTGACTACTGCTGTCCTTTTTATCTTATAGGGTTTGTGATGTGTTCCAGGGTCACGTGGCAGGCAAAACAGCAGTTGTGACCAAGACAGCTATGGCTATACTAAGCTGGATCCCTACATTCACAGGTGCTGTTTTGGTAACATAATCTGGAAATATTTTGCCTTTTTTTTTTTTGGTGGTTCTGGAGAGAACCCAGGGCCTCAAGCATGCTAGGCAAGCACTCTACCACTAAGCTGCATCCCTATCCCTGGAAAAAGTTTTGATTGTCACAATATGGGAGAAGGGAGATGCTATGAGCATCAAGTAGGAAGAGGCCAGGGATGCTAACTTCCTATAATGCACAGTACAGTCCACCACAACAAAGAATTATCAGATCCAAAATGTTAATATTGCCAAGGCTGAAAAACTCTGGTAAATACCTCAATATTATTTTGCATTTTCCTTACTATTAATGAATTTTAAAATATTTTCATGTTTATTGGTTAGTTGGCTTAGTCTGACAACCACTAATTCATGTTTTGCACTTTTCTAGGCTATTTGTCAATAATGCAGAACAGACAGTATAAATACTTCATTTTTCATCGGTATCTCCATTATGATCGTTATTTCAAATGTATCATTTGTCCATCAACAAATTTTTTGTATGTACTCTTATCTCTGTCTCAGAGTCTGGTTTTTGGAAGGCCCAACACACACACACACACACAGACTTTATGTGGACAGCATTGAAGAGATGGTAATTAATACCTACTGAGGACAGCTGTGAAAATTTCAATCAATACTTGGGAAGCATCTCTGAAGATAAAACCAGTTATCCAGATTCCAGTCACTAGCCCCCTGAGCTTTGTGGTATATCCTCACAACTTGGTTACTGTTTGCCAATACTACCCAACTTTAACAAATATAGTAGTAAGCAAGACTCCATATACTTCCCAACAGGTAAATACTAATAAAATAAAAGCAGAAGCAGCTGGCCCTATAGACAATTTAAATAATGTGTGAACAGCAGATTGTTTGAGGCTCAGCAAGTTGTTTGATATCTCTTAGTTATAAAAAGAAGGTAAGATGGGCTGGGGATTTAGCTCAGTGGTTTCACCGCCTGCTGCGCAAATGCAAGGACCCGAGTTCAATCCCTGGTACCAAAAAAAAGAAAGCAGGTAAGATGGCAAGTAAGATACTTTTCTTGAACCTACTCTTTTTCTCCCTTTAATTCATTTTTCCCCTTCCACTTATCTTTTGTTTTTCTTCTATAGTATCACTGCAGCTATAGTTCTTTTTAAAATGGATAGTGTGTAAAGAAGGATTTGTAGGAAACAAAGTATCTAAATTCAGAGTATTACACAGACAGTTTAAGCTAGTATCAAGAAGAAATAGGTATATTTTAAATCTAAGATGAGAGGATGAAAGCAACCAATATAAAAACACAAACAAATGAATAGATGAACACAAAATCTTCCATTCGTCAAAAGACTTAATCCATTGCTAAAAGCTCTGAAATATAAATTAAATAGCAACTCTGAAACATATTTCATGGACACATGTTTTAGGACTATGAAAATACGCCAGAACTAAACTAATAGAGAAACAGCCATAAGACAAGACAGCTGAGAATCCTTTAGGTAGGTGTAGGCTCTGTGGGGACAATGAAGATGACTGCTGGAAAACTTGCATTTGAGACAATCTCAACAATCCTCTTACTCCACTGCAAAGTAGAAGTCAGATTGGGTAGGGCTCTTATCTAGGAAGACTGAAGATTCCCTTTTCCCAAGAGACAAGTGACAGGCATAAATGAAGAACACACAATCAAGAATTGCTAATACTGGGCCAGGGATTTAGCTCAGTGGTTCTGCCGCCTGCCTTGCAAGTGCAAGGACCCGAGTTCAATCTCTGGTACCAAAAAAAGAATTGCTAATACTGAAGGAAGATCAATACATTAAAGAGAGATCCAAGTCAATTAGAAAAATAATATCTAGGAAAGTAGGATGAACCAATTAACGACAATGACAACGACAAGGCTGCTGAGGAGCTGTGCAGCTGCTAGAGATTGAACTCAGGGCCTTGTGCATGACACTCATTGTGCCACTGAGCTACATCCCCAGTCACAGTCCGAAATCTTGCAAATGAAAAAGGATTATTAGAATTAACTCAATAGATGGGGTATATATTGCAACAGGCACAGCTAAGAAGCACATTAACCAGCAGAAGATGGAATGGAGCCAAGGAAACTGCTAGAAGACAATAAAAGTAGGACAGCCAGGTGAGAAGTATGGAGAAAAAGTTAAATGATATGAAGTAGGTATCTAAGTTCCAATATCTATCTGATGCTCTAGGCATAGAAAGGAAGGTCTAAATAAACAAGTATTTAAAAATTCCTAAAGAAAAATGTTACATATTTAAAAACATATTATGGTGAAATTGCACAACAAAAATCCAAAAGTATTTAGGCAGAAAAAAAAAAAAATTACCTGAAAAAGAAAAAGAACAAATCTAGTACCAGACTATCACCAACATTATATACTAAAAAAAGAGAAGTAACAATTTCAAAGTTCTGAAGATTAGCTTGAACCAAAAATACCTCACCAAAGTAGCATCTGAGGCAGAACACAAGACTAGCCATGCACAACTTTCTTACCACTAAAAGTAAATTCTAAAATGGAGGAATGACCAATATCATGAAAAGCAGAAAGTAAAGAACAAACTAAAAAACTAAAATATGGCAGTAATTACTAACCATGTCAATAGTAACAATAAATAGGTTAGATGCCTACATTAAGACAGATTTTGCCAGGCACGGTAGTACACACCTATAATCCCAGTGCTTAGGAGGTTTGTCTCAAAAACATGACAGATTTTCAAACTGCTTAAAACCAAAACTAAGTGCTGCCTAAAAAGTATGACAAGATAAAATGGCATAGAATGGTTAAGGAAAAAGTTATAGAAGACAAATACTAAAAAAGACAGTTTATCAGTCAAGACAGCATTCAAAAGCATCAGATAGAAAAGTTTTACTGATAAAATGTACAACCTGACACAGATATAATAATCGTGACTCTGTCTAATAAAGCTTGAAAATAAATCCAACTACCTTTGATATTAAATAAAGATGAAAGAAAAACATTATTTTAATTTCTTACAGTAAGTTTTCAGTGCGCCTAAATCACCCAAAACCTGCCTAATACATACCCTAAAATAGTTTAGGCACTGTTTATGAAGAAAATATTGTGGCATATTAAATGTATTTGAGGAGTATTTTTGAATATAAATGTACTTCAGAGTTAATCAATATTTTAACAATATACAGATTAAACAAAAACACTCTCTGAATAGAATAACCTTGTTTCATTAGCACAAACAGGCTCTTTCCTATCTACTAAAGTCTAAGCCTAAATGGTATCACAAGAATACAAGGAGAGGCAGACATATGGAAGGGATGAAGAAGAATCTGGAGAGAGTGATACAAGGCTTCCCCCTCCTTAGAAAGACATACACTTCAGCTGGGAGTGGAGGCACATGCCTGTAATCCCAGCACTCAGAAGGCTGAGGCAGGAGGATCGCTTCGAGTTGGAGGCCAGTCTGGGCTACATGGTGAGTTCAGGGCCAGCCTGAACTACACAGGGAGACCTTGCTTCAAAAAATTAAAAAAAAAGAAAGACACTCATTTTTATTTAGTAAAGTCTAAACCTTAAACCATCCAACTGAATATTTCAATGAGCTATTTACCTTCAATTAGTTTTTATAACTTCCTTTTTAAAATTACATATTCTTTGACTCCTAAGGTCAAAATCAGAGATTCAAACAATCAAAACATCCTGAAATGCTAGTATCTTTTCATGGGATCTATCTTGCTGTCCAAAAGCTACAAAGGAGATTTTAAAGACTATAATGCCATTTAATGGGACTAGATAGAACTTGATTTTGGTAGTTTTTTCAAGGTTCCATATTTTACACTAAAACTGTGTATTTTTTTTTTTTTTACACAAAAATTTTTTTTTGTTGATGTGACTCAACTATAGATGGCCCTCTACCACAGATTCAACCCACTGTGGATTGAAAATACTCAGGAAAAAAAAGTTAAATTGTTGCTGATGGGTACTATGCACTTAGACATGCATGAGATGGATGGCTGCTGTTTGAATCAGTACTAAACGTGCCCAGATTTATTTTTCCTGGTCATTATTTCCTAAACAATACTGTATT